CTGTTGTTGACTAAGACTCACACCAAATGGTGTCTGATCAACTATGGCCTTGCTGTAGTTAGTGTCTGCCTATCATCGCAATTGCTTCTTTCTATTTCTTAGTATTGTCTGCTTTTCACCCTTTCTTCATTTCTTCTTTAGGCCCTACTCCATGGTATAGTTGTCTTCTGACTGACTTCTTGTTCTACAATTTCAGTCAACAATTCTGACTGTTCAGCTTCTGCTCTTTCCATTGTTAAGTACATTCCCTAGGCAAATATGTTACTTCAATGCGTATTATCCTTTTATTTTGTGTTTTCATGTATATTAACTACTTCTGACTCAAAGGAGCCATTCCTATGGTTCTTTCTAACTTGGTAAGCTGTTCTTCACAAGCATTATACAGGAACCCTTGGGATTGTCTGAACTATCTACCTATTGGTTAATAAGCATTTCTAGAAGTTGCCCTTATTACAGTAGCAAAATGGGTATGATGTGATAGTCAAAGTAGACTCTGATTACATACTAGAAGTGTGCTTAATGCCATATGGTGAATGTAGATAAAAAAGGCTCGGGCTTGCCACAAGCAGGTCTTGTAGTGGTTGAGTTGCTTTGATTTGAGTGCATTTGACTCATTGTGTTCAGGAGAATGTCTTAGTTTGATTTATTTTGTTATGACTTATTTTATCACAGGAGGATTTGACTGTAGGTATAAAGATGTCACACTGCAGTTAAGTGGATCCTTTTACAGACCACACTTACAGAACTGTCTGTAGTTTTGGCCTCATTACCTACAGAAAGACATACTTGCCATTGAGGGAATGCAGCAAAGATTCACCAAACTAATTCCAGGATGGAAGGACCCTCTTGTGAGGAAAATCATTGGTTTAGAACAATAGTGATGATCTCCTTCAAACATGCAAACTTCTTAGATGACTCGATAGGGGGGCTGCAGAAAAAATGTTTTCTTTAGTTGGGGGATCTCTAGAACGAGGGAACAGTCTCTCAATATGGCACAGGTAATTTAGGAGTGAGTTGAAGTTTTTCTTCAGTCGCAGGGTGGTGAATCATTGGAATTGCCCAGAGAACTGTGCAGGTTCAGTCTTGGAGTATGTTCAAGACTGATACCAATGGATTTCTACATAAGAAATCTCGGAATAAAAGGATAGTGCTGGAAAATGGCCTTGAAGGAGATGATGAGTCATGATCTCATTGAATGGCAGAAGGGGCTCAAAGGACTGAATGGCCTATTCCTGCTTCTGTTTCTTATGTTCTTAAACATTGATCCTGAAAGGAACCACTGGCAGCCATCACCAATGTGAGCAGTTTTTGAAAAAATCCCACTGACTCCTGCTACTGACGTGTAAGGAATCAAGAACAGTTGCACATGTGTACTTGGTCCATAATGTTTCCCTTGCCAAGTGCGCGACTACTCTTGATGTTTTTCTAGTCGGTGATAGGAATTTGGATCTGTTAAAAAGGCACTTTAATATAGTGTGATGAAGATTCATGGTATTACTTTGAAACTTTAATTTTGAAGTTGAAGAAAATGAATAGCTTTGTTTGATTTTTATATTTCAGTATTGGAAGAGGGAGGAAGTAATTCTGAGTTTTGACTGTGATGCAGGTGTGCCTGGAAATTTTTGATTGCATGCATTTTAATGAGATGGTTAAATTCTTGGAGTGAACAGTCAATGCATTAGTTAAATAAAATGCAGAGTAAAAATAACTTAATGCCTTGTGACAGGAATCCAGTAACACCAAGTCAGAGCAATCCTGAAGCATAGTCATTAAACGGGTTCAGCATTAGAGAAGGGGTTCTTAACAACCGAGCTGCTGGCTAGTTTAGCAGTGTCCAAGCCGTCTTGGCTAAAGCCAGGTCCCAAGTGCCTTAGAAGTCAGTAAGAAAAGGTGGAGAATCAGACGACTTTGAGACATGAAGGAGCAAGACATCCTTTCTGGCTGTTGAGGATAGGGATTAAGGAATGCGTGTTAAGTAATAAGTAAGCTGAGATTTCAGTTTGTTTCAGGGTCTCCAGAAGAGGCAATAATGAAAGGAAATAGCATTGAGTGAATAAATTTTTCTGAAAAGAAAACAATGACAATTGTGCCATCTGAGCAAAAGGTGACCCCTCATAGTCTTTGATTTCTGCTGTGTTGTTGTAAGAGAATTCGTTCTCTCTTTCTGATCGTCATAAGACTGTTTCAAGTAGTTGTTACATTGCATAATATATTTTTTCTTTTATTTAATAAACTTTTATGTTCTTTTATTAAAAATAATTAATAGCCTCTTGTGAATATGTTCAATGACCACTATGGTAAATGGGGGAAAAAACTTGTGACCTATCAAGCCAGTTCTCACTCTAGGATCTGGCTTGCCCATTATTGCCATCATTTGGAATCACGACTGTCTCTTACTGTATTGGAACTTGCAATGCGAGTGTTTCCCAAGGGAATTCCAATGTTCATGTTCAATTCTTGCATGTGTATTTTTCCAGTAATAGCAATAAGTTATATGTAATTGGAATTTCATTGTAGTATTTCAGCGTACCTCTGTAACACCAGAAGCAGATAGTGTTTTTAATTTTTTTTGAAGTATGAGTATGTTGGATTTCTGCATTTTAGCAGGTTTATTGTTCATTTCCAGTAATCCAGCAGAAGTGTTTGGTTTTTGACTTAATCTGTGAACTAAGACGATCTAGTTGTGATCACCATACCAGGTGCCTTGGAAATGTTTCCGTAAAATGGCTTGGCATGGGTTTGATAGAGAAGGAAAGCTACTGAAATATATGTTTGCTTTTTCTTTCAGGTGTGCAAGAGAAAATGGGCATAATGAACAGAGGAGTAGTGTATGCTCTGTGGGATTATGACTCTCAAACTGAAGATGAGTTATCGTTTAAGGAAGGAGACTGTATGTCAATTATCCGACGAGAAGATGAAGCCGAGATTGAATGGTGGTGGGCACGACTAAATGATGGGGAAGGATATGTGTCACGCAACTTACTTGGTGTAGGTTTTTGCAAGAATATGACCTGTTATATTTTGTAGTATTAACTTACTGTGGTGAAATATTAGAAAGAAACAAAATAGTGTAGGAGAGCTAAAGTGGTAATTGTGAGTATCAGTGGTTTCAATATTCAGTTCAAGTTTGAGATATAACATATAATTGCATCCTATTTTATTTTCTATGAAAATGGATTCCCACCAATATGCTTGGACATTAATTGGCTCTGGATGACCTGCTAGTGGAACATCGTCATACAGCATGGAAACAGACTCTTCAGTCCAAGTTTTCCATGCCGACCAAACATCCTAAATTAATCTCGTTCCATTTGCCAGCATTTGACCCATATCCCTCTTAAACTCTTCCTATTCATATACCCATCCAGATGCCTTTTAAATGTTGTAATTGTACCAGCCTCCTCCACTTCCCCTGGCAGTTCGTTCCATATACACACCACCCTCTCCATCAAAACGTTGCCCCTGGGGTCCTTTTTAAACCTTTCCCTTTTCACCTTAAACCTATGTCCTCTAGTTTTGGGGAAAAAGACCTTAACTATTCACCCTATCCATGATTTTATAAATTTCTATAAGGTCACCCCTCAGCCCCTGATGCACCAAAGCAGAACTAAATATAACTTGTGAAAGTACTTCATCCATTAATTTTCTTTGTGTCCTTCTTGAAGCTGATGGCACTTGCTGAGTTTTGTTCCATCAACCAACGCCAATTAATGAGCACAATTTAGCTGCGCTGGTCCCGGTGTTGTTCTGGATTTAATGTCCTACGTAGCTATTGGGCAGTATACAATTTAGAAAATTTACTTTTATTTATTAGGGCTCTTTATGGCACAGTAGTAATGTCCCTTTCTCTGGGCCAGAAGATCTGGGTTCAAGTCCCACTTGCTCAAAGCTGCATCATAATATCTCTGTACAAGTTGATTATGAAAATAGTTACCTTTTTTGAGTTGATTGAATCCTTCTGTAATTCACAGCTTACAATTTGCTCTCCCTTTTACAGCTTTATCCAAGGATTAAACCAAGGCAGCGTAGTCTGGCATAAAGTACTTGTGTAAAAGCACTACAGATGAAGACTATAAACGATGTACATTTTTAAATGTATCTATACCAATTCATATCCAACAGAATGGTGGTCTCCAGCCTAAATGAAGGAAAATTCAATGGACATTGTGAATGCTTCTGTAATGAAGTGAGCGATTTTTGTTGTTCAGTGTTAATAATCACCTAATATAAATGGTGAACTGAAGGTTTTTTTGACAAAACTGTTTATTTTGGTGCATTTTAAAGGACTCTAGATTTAGAACATAATAATAAGAGCCTTAAAGTAGATAAGAGCACAGATAATTAGGAAGAGAATCAGCTATCTTTCTTTGTTTTCCATCTAACTTCTGTTACAATACAGATTTTTTACTGCAGTTATATTTGTATTGGGGCTAAACTGTATGCAGGAGTTGTTTGGTTGTTTGATGGTCTGAATAATCAAACCGCTCAGTTTTAATGGAAACTTTTTAAAGAGACTGAAATAGGATGTTCTCGGAGCAAAATTTGGATTCTTGTTTAAAATTGTTTCATGTAGGACTGCAGAAAATTAAACCATTAATGCCCTTGTAATCATTTCTTGTAACTAGGAAACAATGATTGTCATCTAGACATCCTTCTCTTGAGTATGATGTAACTATGACGTTGCACATTCCAAAGCATGCATCCAGAATTTTGAAAGGAAGGTGTGTTACACTCTGTCAGAGCTTGTTTTCAATATTTTCATTAACTTAATCTGACACATGCTAAACATAGCAGTATTTTGAAGATGACACTACAGTTTGTCTTGTTTGAGCTTGTTTCAGACTGCATTAACCCTGTTTCCTTTAATGAGGAATTTCATTTCAAATTTGAATTCTACATATTGATTTGTGTTTATTAATGATGACTGTGGCTGATAGTATTTTAAACTTTCCAAGAAACCCATTGAATTGTTTAAAGGGTTAACAGTAAATGTCGTCTTTTGAAAAACGCTTCGCAATAATATTGTGGTTTAAAATATGTATGCTGTAATCAATCATAATTTTATATTCATTTTACTTCAGTTTTCCTTTGTCAGTGGAAAATATTTAGCTGCTTACCTGGCACAGTGTAAAACTATTTGCATCTTCTGTTTTAATGCAGCTGAGAAATTTTCACAATCATCTCGTTTCATTTTAAAAGTGAGCATTTAATTCCCCTCAAAACCAAAAAAAATTGTTAAAAAACATTAATGCCATTGCGATTGAAATGGTTTTAGTTACTCCATTTTCAGAGTTCTGGGTGGTTGCTTTTTTAACATTTTCACTTTAAGACATATTAAATGTGTATGCACAAAATTTTTTTCTGATTTTAAGGTGGAAATCTCCCCATGCCCCTTTGGTTGGCTATGAACACCTCGCACATTGATTGATTAGTTTGTTGCTTAGCATTTTCCTTACCCAGTGATGAACAATTATTCAATAATTATTGACCTTTACTAACCATCTTGTCAGTTAACCTGTTGAGCACTGTCACCTGTGGTCAAATATAAATTTTGCAGTTCATTTTTCTTAGATTAAAATTAAAAAGTATCATTTTGTAATTTCCATTTCAAAATACAACATTGAATTACTGTCTTGTAAAGACAGGAATAAGCAATACAATCAGAAAATAGCATTTATTTACAGTATATCTAGGTAAAAATGCAGAAAAATTAACGGCCAAAACTTTCCCTTAAATTAAGGATAGCTCATATTTATGTAGGAACAATAAGAGATCATTCAGCCGTTCAAGCTGTTATACCATTCGCTTGGACCATTTTGCTTCTATATCCTTTACCTATCAAAAATCTATGAATCTCAGTTTCAAATACTCCATTGACCTAGGCTGAACAGCTTTTGGTCAGGGAAGAAATTGGGGATTTCCGCAACTCATTATGTGATGGTGTGCTTCCTGCATCTCCTGAATGCACCAGCTCTAATTTTAACATCATGTGGCCTGGTCTGAATTTTTCCAAGAGTAATTTCCATTAAATATTTTGTTATTTGATTTATTACTGTCATGTGTACCAAGGTACAGTGAAAAGTGTTGTCTTACTTCCTTTACAGGCAGATCATACTATACAAGTGCATCAGGATAACAGAACATGTGCAGGATACAGTGTTAGAGTTGCCAAGAAGGTGCAGAGAGAGATCAATACTGACATTTAAGAGGTCCATTTAAAAGACTGAAAACAGTGAGGAAGAAGCTGTTCTTGAATCTGGTCAAATGTATATTCACACTTTTATATCTTCTGCCTGATAGAACAGGGCGGAAGAGAGTATAACTGGGGTGGGAGGAGTCTTTGATTATGTTGGGTGCTTTCCTGATGCAGCGGCGAAGTATAGATGAAATCAATGGATGGGAGGCTGGTTTGCAAGATGGACTGGGTTTGTACTCATGACTCTCTGTAATTTCTTGTGATCTTGGCAAGAACAGTTTCCCTAGCATGCTGTGATGCTCTAGATTGGATGCTTTCTGTGGTGCATCTATAAGAATTTGAAAGTCTTTATAGATATGCCGAATTTCCTTAACTACCTGAGGAAGTAGAGGCATTGTTGTGCTTTCTTGACCATAGTTTCAACATGGATGGACTAGGACAGATTGGTGATCATCACTCCCAGGAACGTGATGATCTCGACCGTCTCCACCTCAGCACCATTGATGCAGACGGGCATGCCCTCCACTCTGCATCCTGAAGTCAATGATCATCTGCTTTGTTTCGTTGACATTGATGGAGAGATTGTTGTCTTTACATCATGCCACTGAGCACTCTGTCTCCTTCCTGTACTCTGTCTCATTGTTGTTTGAGATCCGACTTACAACGGTGGTGTTATCAGCAAACTTGTAAATTGATTTGGTACAGAATTTGGCCACAGTAGTGTACGTATAACAAGTATAGTAGGGGACTGAGTACACAGTCTTGCGGATTATCGAGGAGGTGGTGTTGTTGCCTATCCTTACTGACCGCGTTCTGTTGGTCAAGAAGTCGAGAATCCAGTTACAGAGCGGGGAACAGAAACCTGGGTCCCAATGTGTGGAGATATGTTTTTTTTTAAAACTAACATTATTTTCAAATAACTTGATCAGATTGTTCCTTCATCATTGCATAGACTGGCTTTTTTCCTGTAAATGTAATCTTCCTTCATAATTTAATCATTTCCTAAGGTATGGTGCCCAGAGCCTTATGCAACTGCATTATAACTTCAACCTCTTTGAATTCCAGCCCCTTAATGATAAAGCATAGTATTCTCTTACTCATTTAAATTATTTTTGTACCTGTACGTTTTAGCACTTTTTTTTTAAGCAGTTCTGAGAATTGAATCTGGTGGTCATAGTGTTTCTGCTGTGACAGTCCTCTCTGGTTGAAGGATGCTTATTTGGAACTACCTGTTTGCAAGGGCAGTTTTTTTTTTCCTGAGCTGGGTTATCACAAAATATGGTGTTCATTTCGGTAAACTTGGCAATTTAAACTATTATCAAGAATTAGAATGCCAATTAGATGCTTAAGTGATAACTGACATTCTTAACTTTCAGTGAAGTTTGCAAGTTGTGCCGACAATGTAGAGTTTTATTTCTTAACTATAGTTTTCAGAGTGGATGTTTAGTTTAGGCCTAATTGTGTAGTTGGTGTACCCCTTAAGAGGTCCAAGGATTGAATGAAATTGGCCGTTGGGTCTCAGCTTAATAGTTGCATGAGATGCTGATGTTGATTGCAGCTTGACTTGAACTCTAGTAATTGAGTGCTTCTTTGTTGGGCTGACTCCTTTGCTGGTAGTGCCCTGCTGATAAGATCTAGGAGAAGAAAAGGAGCAGTATTTGTTGTGGGTGCAACAAGGCAGCAACAATGATTTTGTAGCTGGGGAAAACATTCTGCAAGAAGGCTTGTTTTTAATTTTTCTCAGTGTGCAGGTTTAATGTCTATGGAATCCTGAGCAAGTTAAACCCAATATCTGCCACGTTCATTAAGTAAGAATTTTGAAAAGTAGTTCTGCACGCATTGAGTCCCTACATTAACACATTTGTGAGAGGTTTAAATATGTCTAAAATAAGGGAGGGACCAACATAATTGATGACTGGCTAAGTTGATATGGTTTGTGAACCATTTTATACCTGAAAGGTGGCAATAATTCATACCAATTCTAGCCTGCAATATTTGAAGGTAGACAGAGAATTTTCTTGATTGAACTTTCCTGTTCTGACAGACAGCATATAGTGGTTCTATTCTCATCCCCCATCCTGAAAACACAGCCACATTGTACTGATGATAATTAGTGATAACAGCAATTTGTGTATCATCTTAACGGAATAAAGTGCCCAAGATACTTCATAGAAGGATTATAAAAACAAAACATGAAACCAAAACACAAGGCAATATTAAGTCAAACGCCCAAGAGCTGGAGAAATGAAGAGGTGTAGGAAAAGTACTTGAGAGCTTAGCCTTGAACACCTGAAGGCATGATCATCAATGATAGAGTAATCAAAAATAGGGTGTACTCATGAAGACACATGGAGAGTAATTTAGTGCTTGGTTAATAGAATAAGTTTTTTTTTTTCGCTCCTTTAGGGCAATTCTAATCATTTTTTCCAGTTCCATATCATGATCTCTTACCATTGACAGTTTGCAATTCTAGGATAACTTGATGCAGTTGAAATTACTGTAATTTAGTGGTGTTTTTTAAATGTTCTG